AGACCCTGAATGTGCCTGGGAGACTAGAACGCTTCCCCTAGCTCATCTCGCGCACCCGCTGTCCAATGCCTTGCCAATGCCCGCCAACAACAACGCCTTTCAACGTGCGACGAGTCTCGCTCAGGTTTCAGATCAAATGTTTACCATCATTTCCGCTCGCTGATCCAAATGCCACTCTTCTATGCTTGGTGACGGCACAGTTCATTGGCACGGCCTGGTCGCTCTCCGGATCCCTCCATGCATGCATGCAGGACATTCACGTTGAATGACCTCTGCGCTTCCATCATGCTTCCACGCTTTTCTTCTCCGCGGTCCCCTCCATGTGGTCGAACCAAGTTCTTGTGATCGCTCACCAGGCCTCGATTACCATGTCTAACATCCCTGCTCCCGATCGAGAGCTCGACCTTGCGTCGACAGTTTATGGCAAAGCCCTAACAATCGGGCGAGTCTCGTGGACGCAGAATTTCTCACGGTTCATGCTTGGTTCTGACGCACTCGCAAGGCAAACTCGTCCAGTCAGCTCCAAGCCGCGCCGTGGGGCTGCTCGCTTCGTAGTGGCTGAACCCGCCAAACACCAACATCGGACTAGCCGCGGGTAATTACATTTATGGGGGGCCAGACACAGTATCATCCCTTGGTGGCATAGCAACACAAGCCGTCGTCGCCTCACGTATATGCTAAGTGCATGGTCAAATCCTCATCATACCCCCCAAGTTGCAGGCATCATCCATCACGTTGAGAACGGGCGCCCCAATACAAACCTGCAGAAGCACGTGAACACGTTCGACCGCACCTCACTTCAGAACCTTGTTGAGATGAGAGCCGTCATCAACTGCGCCGCATCGGCCTTCGCCATTCTGGTTGGCCTGCCACTTGTGCAAAGTTTATCGTCTGCGCCTGCATGACCTGACACGCAGGAGTCAGTAGATGCCGGTGTCAGCTCAGCAGCACAACCGAACTCCGTGAAGAAGTGGTACAACTCCCGGAAATAGCCATGAGGTTCAGTAGAAGGGTGAACGTACGCAGTAGCTGGATCGATTGGCCATCATCGCTCTCCATCATTTTACTTCTCTAATATACAACATCCTAGCGGGAAGCACAAGATACTAATCACAGTGACTGTACCATCTGACAGATGCCAATATGACATGGGTACAGACTGACGCCCATGGTGGTTGCCGGTCGTGGGGTATACGGGTTTGCGGATGCCGAGAAACGCCCTGCTCGACTAGGTATTCAAGATGATCGTGGCGCTACCAAAGCGCAAGTCCCCAGCCCGTGGTTTACCTCGTGGCTCGCTAAGTGTACGGGTATTCCCAGTCTTTCGATTCATGATCAGCCCGTGCCGGGCATCGAAACGAGTTTTCGTGCTTCGCATCATACATTTGATGGCAGGTCGTCCATACTCTCATCTACAAACGTCCATTCCATACTGCGAATACCGCTACAACGACACTGTTTCGATGCCGGGCAAGAATGGGTGCAGTCAAGATGTTCAGCCCAAACGATCTACGGCCCACTATTGAAATCACAGCTTTCGTGCTGGTGGCCCTCTCGACAGTAGTGATCGCTGTTCGGTTCGTATTCTATACTCATTGTTCTACCCTTGTCCCATTGTGCTCATCAATATTAGGTTCTACGTGCGAGGATGGATCATCAGAAAGGTTAATCTAAGTGACTACTTAATGGCAACGGCATTAGTAAGTTGAAACCAGGTTATGAACTGTCATATACTAATCGACCGTGGGTCTTCACTTGGGGGCTTTGCGCCTGCAACCATTATCAGTTCTTATTTGGTTCCGGGGTTGATTATAACCCAGGCGTCAGATCAAAGGTAAGGATAAGTGTTTTGAAGCATCGGACGTGCTACAGCAACATGCTAAGCAAACCACAAGGTCAAAGCAGAGCAGTTAAAATTGGACCGCAACGCCTTAGGTGCTGTAGCGACATGTAAGTAGCTGTGTTGGCAAATACAATATCATTCTGACTGTTAGAAGGGTACGCATACCATATCGGTTATCAATTCATAATGGGTCTCATCAAGCTCTCAATACTCGTCTGTAAGTACAATCCTTGACTACGTCGTCCAAATGCACGTCAATCTAATCCCTCCACCTCCAGTCTACCTCGGCTTTGCAACCCAACGAACCTTTCGAAGACTAGTTCACATATCGATCGTGATCGTCACCGCTGTTACGATCATCTTGATCTTTGTTATCGCCTTTCAATGTCCCAAAAAGCCCTCCGTCGCTTTCGGCGCTGCTATATTGCGAGACAGGGGCTCCATCCACTGTTTCGACTTAAAGATCATTCTCTACTGGCAAGCAGGCTGGAGTATCGCATCCGACATCATCATTCTACTTCTTCCCATGCCCCTCCTATTTTCACTGCGTATGCGAACCGCCAAACGCCTATCCGTCATAGCCGTGTTTGCTGTGAGCCTTCTTATTCCGATAGCATCTGCAGTACGGCTTTGCGGGCTGAACCTCTGGGCCAATAGCGGATCGCACGCTCGGTATTACGGGGGATACATCATTTTCTGGTAAGTAAATACTGTATAGGATGTAGATCTGAGACAGCTACTGATTGCACTCTAGGTCCCAAGTCGAGATCAACACAGCCATCATCTGCGCATCAGCACCATCCATCCAACCCCTCTTCAAACGCATCTTGAACCGAATACTCGGCTTCCGCCAATCTCGCAGCCCTTACTATTACTACGGGGCGCGCAGCTCGCTTCCCGGACTACCTGCCGTGGAAATCGACAGAGACTTGCGATTCCGTAGAGACAGCATCTGTACCCTGGAGATGCCGACGCGGGCTTTTTGTCCAGCCAAGGAAGTTGCAGATGACGGAGTTCGCGACCGAATTGTTATTGGTCATGCTGCGGAAGAGGAAGAGCTCAGGGCGCGTATTCGTGCGCTTACAAGTCCGCCGCCTGTGTTTGTTCGGCCTGTGTCGCTGGCTTCTGGACCGACAGTTCTTGACTCCAGTGTGCCGGCGATGTCACCAGAAAATCCGCAAGGCTCTCTGCGCTGATCAGAGGCAGCATTTGAGACCTCTCAATTTTACAAGCGTGTAGGATCACCTACGCGCAGAGAGCTCCATGATCTGATCCCAAACGGACTGCTCGATTTTGGTGTTTGTACGCCCTGCCCAGCCAAGCGATACAAGCCAAGACCGGATTTCACTGTCGTTGCGCTTACCTGTCAGCGACCAACACCGCTCTCGTGGGCGGCGAACCTAGTTCTCGGCTGAGATAAGCCTGGGTGGGTGGGGGAGGTGGAGGGGAGGTGGTGGAGGTCTCAGACGTCGATGGCGCCTCCTCTGTGGGCGGACCTGGTTCTTGGCTGAGGTAAGCCGCCCCAGAACGTGGAGTTCAGTGTAACCATCGGTTACGCGATTAGTATTCGAGGCAGGCTCATTGGCCAATGATGAGAACATACCTGCCGATTTTGACAGACATGCTTGGGCAGAGGGGGAATCGATACTCCTGATCCGTTGTATGGGGGACGGGAAGGGAGAAGGCGTCCAGATGGAACAACAACATTTGCGCCTTGGATTAATATTGGGTGAGAGGAGATGCATGCGTCGGCACTGCTGGTTGCTTTTGTCTGCGAGGCACCATTCCAGATTGTGGCGCCGGCTCGAAGTCCGGCCATGGCGTGGTTTTCAGTCGGCGTCGCGTCGCGTCGCGCTCGAGATAGGCCCCCGCCGAGGTTCCACGCATGGATGAGTACCTCAGATAGTGCGATGATTGTCGCTTGTAGCCGCCTGAGATGCGAATTAGAGAATCGGTGCAGAAGCCTATGTGATTGTCGATACATGTTGATGATCTCCATCAGACCGACTTAACCCCGATGACGCACCTATCGCCGAGCTATAGCTCTAGACCCACCTTCCTCAACGGTTCAGCCTCCTGTCTTCCTTCCCACCAGCTCTACAAGTCGGCGTTCAAACAAAAACTCTACATCGCCGTCTCATCAAAGCTCCTCGCCGTCTTCGACAATGCGGCTCTGGCCCTGACTAACTCCAGATGGGGAAATTCTCGCGGCGGCTATGCTTTACTCAGGGACCCTGCATATACATTTCATGAGAAGGGTCTAGCGTCAAACTACGCTTCGATCTGACATTTATCGCACCACCAACAATCCACGTCACAACTTCGCTCAATGTCACGGTGATACTAACAGACACGTTCATTAATGCGGATTGCTAGTAACGATCGCGATCTGGGAGTTTCCCTTTTCGAATGCGCGGCTGTGGGGTTGCCGCTGCTTTTGGCTGCTTTGGATGGGTGGCAAAAGGTACCGATACTCGCGGTTTGGATCGGAGGATGTGTTTTTAGACGGCGGCGTGGAGATCGCGGGGTCTTCACGGATTGCGCGGTACTTGGGGTTTCGTATGCTTGGTTGGCGAGGGAGGAGTTGGTTGCGACTGTGTTGAAGAGCTGGAATGATTGGAGGGGCTGGGCTGAAGGGTCGCCTGGTACATATGCCGTCTTCAGCATCGCGATACCGCTAGCTATCCTCGCGATTTCTCTATGGTGCAGTCTTTGCGGCAACGAGGACCCAACGGCGAACACGCCTGATATCAGTCGATGGAGATCTAATGTGGAAACGCCAAAGCCAAAGATCTTCCCGTGCCAGACGTCGCATGCTCGAATCTTTCCGAAGCGCCATGCTTTCGCATACTCATACCTTCAGTGCGGATTTCCCATCGTCCCTAGCGGAGCTAAATACCAGGGGATAGAGTTCGCAAGCGGAGAAGACCAGACTTTGGGTAAATGGTGGTTGCGAATAAGAGCGGAGGATTATCTGGAACGAGGTGGCGGCGCATCTGGATTCTACTGGAAGCTGAGGTCGTACTTGCGGGCTCAGCATGTCGAAGATGCGGAATGGGAGTATGCCTATCTGGTGACGGCACCGCGCTTCCTTGGTTACGCATTCAATCCGGTTTCGTTCTGGTATATTTACAATCGCGAACATCAGCTTGTGAAGATGATACTCGAAGTCAACAACACATTCGGAGAAAGACGAATGTATCTGCTTGACGGATCGAGCCCTGCCAGTCCGCCGCGCACATCTGATTCTGAACAAACGTCTGGATCTGAAGAACATGGACCGCAGATACCTATTCGGGCGAAGTCGAAGTTTACCGATGTATGGATGAAAGATTTCCATGTTTCGCCGTTCAACTCTCGAAAGGGTTCGTATGCGCTGAAGGCCCAAAACCCTTTCCCTTCTGTGAATTACGAGAACCCTCTGATCGACAATACGATTACCCTGAAGTCTTCCAAGGACCATGGGAAGCTTGTAGCTCGCCTCTTCTCTACCGGAAAGGCTATTGACCCGGACCAATTGGGTTTCCTCGGAGCTCTGCGGTTCATCCTAAGCTGGTGGTGGGTAGGCTTTGTAACGTTCCCGCGCATCGTCAGAGAAGCTGGCAAGATCTTTTTTAAGAGGAAGTTGCATGTGTGGTTCCGGCCGGAGGTGCTAACGTCGAGCGTTGGTCGGCCTCCCACTTCCGCTGAGATGTAAGTACGGGTGAAGCACTACCCGAATGCAACTAACAATATCAGAACACTCTACAAAGTATTCAGAAACTACCTACACGTACTCGTAAACCAGACCGAAGTGGACTTTTGCATCACGTTCAAGGCGTCGGTACCCAACGTCCCCACAGACAAGATCGCTACGACACACGTCCCTGATCGAGACCGGCCATACAAGAATATTGAAATCCGTGTGCTTACACCAGCGTTCTACTCGCGACTCATCCACTACACCTACATATCCGAGGCTATCGATCGCGAATGCATCTTCACCGACGAACGGAACAGGACATTATGGTTGTGCCGTCCCCAGCTCCTACCTCTGCTACTCTCAGAACGCTCATCGATACGCCTCAAAGACGAGGATACGCCACTAGTCCGAAGAAGCTATCTCGATGAGCTGAGATGGTGGTTGCTCAAGAAGTTGAGGTGCCCACCCGCAGACCCTGCATACTCAGTCACGCCGCAAAATCCCGCGGTCAATGTAGATGATATCCGCGCCAGGCCGTTCTCCGAGTTGGATAGATATGTCCGGGGTTACTTCGGGCAGCAGTACGCTTGTGAGTACCGCAGGACCGTTACCAAGCTTTTCTTGGCACAGCGCTTTTGTTTTGGGTTTACAGAGATAGTTGGGCTTGTGGATTTGGTTATCAGGGTCTTGCTGTGTTATGTTGCTGCTCGGCAGCTGATGAGTTGGGGTGACTCGACACCGGGATTGCTATCAGCTGGATGTCTAGAAGGTTTGGTGATGAGGAGGGATTGGTCGGCATGTTCCAATGCGCTTGCGATGGATTACTGGGGTTGGTGGTCGTTGGGAAAGAGCGCGTTGGCGGTGTACTCGTGTCACATGTATGAATCCTTGAAGGGTTATAGATGAAACGTAGATTACTCTCCTCTCAACTACAACTCAATTCGTCAACATACTTCCCGAATAACAGTGATACACATGGCCGTACAACGCCCAGCCACGAGCATTTGCCGGGATCGTCACTGCTGCCGAGCGAGCCTTATCCGAGATATTCCAGACGCAACAATGACACCACTCACGTGTTTTCCGAGACAAAAGCGCTCTAAACAGCGAAGATGCCTGCTCGTGAAAGTCGCAGATCAATAGCGGTTCAGGCCTTTTCCGGACAGGATCAACCGAGGTAAAACCCGCGCGACGCTAACGAACACGCGACCCCAGATTTTGGCGTGCGTCTTCACATGCACCAGAAAACCAGCTAAGCAGAGCGACGGAACACCGACATGTGAAGCTGCAGCATATTGTCGCGTGTCATGCCGAACAGCATCTTCAGTGCATCGAGATGGGAACAGTGATATAGGAGTAGGATGATAACGAAGGATGCAGCTCTGTCTGTAACGAGCTGACCCAAGACCATTGGCAAACGTCATCCCCGTCACGGTTCCGCTGGTCCCCCATCCCCACCCCGATCTACACTGGTCAGCCTTCCAAAACGTCAATTCCCCTTGGGCCGAGGGCAACGCAAAAACAACGCTCGAGCAAGTGCATGGCCAGCGCTAGACGTTGCTGCCAGCTTCCGAGGATGCAGCAGTCGGGCCAATGGTGCGTCCAGCCGGTCGTCCCCGAGCTCACTTGGGGTGCTGTGCTAGCCGTGCTGGTGTGAGTATGCTGATGGCTATGGTTATAAGACGCTTGGCTTTCCCCCCAAGGTTCCTGGCTGCGTAGACCGAGGCTAGAGTGCTTGTGGTGTCATTGCTGGTCATCTTTATCAAAGGACGAGCTTTCCCTCTTGTTTTTGTTCATATTTCCTCATACACACATCAGTCGTGTCGGGAAAACCTAGCTTTTTTGTTGTTGTAACGCATCTTACGCATCAATCATCATGGCGAACATTGACGCCGAGGACGCGCAGTTCCAGAAGGAAGTTCAGGAAGTTAAGCAGTGGTGGACGGACTCAAGATGGAGGTATACGAGGAGGCCGTTTACTGCTGAAGATATTGTCTCGAAGAGAGGTAATCTCAAGATCACCTACCCGAGCAATCACCAGTCGAAGAAGCTTTGGGAGATTGTGGAAGGACGCTTCAAGGTATGGTGGTCATCTTAGACTCCAAGTATGCGAGCTGACAATATGTAGAACAACGACGTTAGCTACACATACGGATGTCTCGATCCTGTCATGGTCACACAGATGGCGAAGTATCTAGACACTGTCTACGTTTCTGGATGGCAAGCATCGTCAACAGCTTCATCGACCGACGAGCCAGGTCCAGATCTAGCAGACTACCCCTACGTAAGTTACAGGAATGAACGGTGATGGGTAACGAAAGCTAACGAACAAAAGACAACCGTGCCCAACAAAGTTGGCCACCTATTCATGGCACAGCTTTTCCACGACCGAAAGCAACGCGAAGAACGTCTGACCACCGCGAAAGCCGACCGTGCAAAAGTCGCCAGCGTAGACTACCTACGACCGATCATCGCGGATGCCGATACTGGACATGGAGGTTTGACAGCTATCATGAAGCTTACGAAGCTGTTTATCGAGAAGGGTGCTGCGGGTATACATATCGAGGATCAAGCACCAGGAACAAAGAAGTGCGGTCATATGGCTGGAAAGGTGTTGGTTCCGATTAGCGAGCATATCAATCGACTGGTCGCTATCAGGGCGCAGGCAGATATCATGGGTAAGGCGATGAACTTCAGCCATCAGATTTGATGTGGGCTAACGTTCGAATGACAGGAACCGACCTACTTGCCGTCGCCAGAACCGACTCAGAAGCCGCTACCCTGATCACTTCTACCATTGACCCACGCGACCACCATTACATTCTAGGCTGCACAAACCCTGCCCTCCAGCCTCTGGGCGAGCTGATGTACGCCGCCGAACAAGCCGGCAAGACAGGCGCGGAGCTCCAAGCGATCGAAGATGCATGGACGAAGGAGGCCAACCTCAAGCTATACCACGAGGCCGTAATCGACACGATAAATGCCGGTGTACATGTCGACAAGCAAAGCATGATCAACGAGTTCATGGAGAAGAGCAAGGGCAAGAGCAACTCAGAAGCACGCGCCATCGCCGCAGGCCTGACCGGCGTCGATGTGTACTTCAACTGGGACGCCGCAAGGACGCGCGAGGGCTACTACAGGTACCAAGGCGGTTGCCAAACTGCTATCAACCGCGCCATCGCATACGCGCCCTACTGCGACATGATATGGATGGAGTCAAAGCTGCCCGACTTCGCGCAAGCGAAAGAGTTCGCTGATGGCGTGCATGCCGTTTGGCCTGAGCAGAAGTATGTCTTCTTCCACCCACTTCCCCTCTCACACACACACTAACAATCACAACAGACTAGCATACAACCTCTCCCCCTCCTTCAACTGGAAAGCCGCCATGCCACGCGACGAGCAAGAAACCTACATCCAGCGCCTGGCCAAGCTGGGTTACTGCTGGCAGTTCATCACGCTCGCTGGTCTGCACCAGAGTGCGCTCATGGCCGATACCTTCTCCAAGGCGTATGCGAAGCAGGGTATGCGCGCTTATGGCGAGATTATCCAGGAGCCGGAGGCGGAGAACAAGGTCGATGTGCTTACGCATCAGAAGTGGAGTGGCGCGAATTATGTGGATAATTTGTTGAAGATGGTGTCGGGGGGTGTTAGTTCTACGGCGGCTATGGGGAAGGGTGTTACGGAGGATCAGTTTAAGTAGAGCCATCCCGCACCTCCGGATAGGATTATGATGATGCCAAACACTTGTCGCCGAGGAGACGATGCTATCACCGTGTTAGTGAATGCATGCTATGTTCGTTTAGACTCCTACTTGATTCACATTTGTTTCCTTTGTAACTTTTAAACTCATTCCTCACAGTCCAAACGTCAAAGCCTTTCGCTCAGCAAGTCCGCAAACCCACTATTTCACTGAACATTGAACATTGAACACTGTGAAGGCTCCATCGCCCTTTGAGTTAATCACACTTTAGTCCCGCAACAATGCTGTCCTGAGTTGTGCAAAAAGGCACATTGTCCGGTTCTCTTCGCCGCACCAGACCTGTGTTAACCAAGCAGCAGTTGAGAATCCAGACTTGAATCTACTATACCATGTCAGCCCAGAAAGAGATTGTGGGACCAGCAGAAGCTCCCACAAACCCCACATCCTCATCGTCTAGGAAAGAACGCAGCGACATGGCCCAACGTATCAAAGACGACCGAGAAAAGCAATGCCAATCATACGGTCCACAAGTCTTCGAAGATGCCAGGGCTTTTGAAGCCTCCCTGGATAACGGCAGAATCTTCACCCGCGCGTTCTTCGAAAAAGCAGCAGAGCAAGTCGAGATAGTTCGTAAAGGCGATCCGAACATGCCGTTCATGTTTGTACCACGTGTACTAGGTAGTGGACAAGTGGAGAAGCGTGTCCCACCGTATGCCTCACCCGCGGTCAGCCTGAGTTTCAGCGGGATCTTCATTGGTGCCTCTGACAAGATGCGTCCAGCGTATCACATCAGGACTCCCAAACAGCAGGGTACTAATTACGATTTCAGTGATACCAGGGTGCTGAAGCCCGATAGCCTTCAGAGTACACGTCAGCAGGCGAGCCCGCACTGCTCCATCTCTGAGGAGTACAAAGGAATCCCAAGAATCCTCGAGGCATCCTTGCTTCGAAGTAAATTCTGGGCGAGTGTACGAGAGCAGCTCGATGCTCTCACCGTACCAGTCGACAACGTTGTTTGCGTAGCCCTCGGAACCCTGCACGGAACAGAAGAGGAAGGCAGAAAGGAAGATACCTCAGCTACACAGCACGTGCTCGCCTGCGCCATCTCGACCTACCTATCGCAGCGGTACGCCGCCACTTCCACCACGACTTCCACACCAACGCCTATCCCAATTGTAGCTCGCGACCCGGCCTATAAACTCGAAGACATGGTCATGCTTTCTCAGTGCAATCCTTCCATCACAGTAGTATCAGAGCCATACCAATACCTCTCCATCACGCCCTCTACGCTCTTGATAAGCCTCTACCAACCCGCCTTCGTACCGGTATTCCAAGTGGCTGCGGACATGTGTTTTCCGACAAGTCCAGCGGCAATCATCACCGCAGAGATACTGAGCCATCCGTGGCATAAAGAGGGGAAGATCATGGCGCTCGATACTTGGACCCCGCGAGTTGGAAGGATGCTGGAGTGTATGAATGCGACGTGGCTGGGTCGGGAGTTTGCAGATAATTGTCCGTCGCCAGATGGTGATGGTAGGTTCGAAAATGCCGGCGACCTTATTGATGATTGGGGGAAGAACTTGACGTTTTATGCGCGGAAAGAGTAGGCTTTTCGTTGCTGTGTCGGCGTTCTTTTCGGGCTTCTCCTCTTGGATCGTGTCCTTCCCTATGATTGTTACGAAGTTTATAGTAGACTTCTCTTGTTTCGACGCTGTTTGTCTTGATGTATATCAAAGATACACATGAACTGTAATGCGGGCGCGTAATCATAATCCCAATCTCAAGCGATCAATTGAAGAGCTCAGAGTTGTTCGTATAGTGAGGTGAGGATCGTCATCTTTGGGCCCGGGAGTTGCTATCAAACGCTTGTCAAGGTTCTCAGCCAACCATGATATGACTGGGAGCTGCCCGATGGGCCATGGTGTCGCCAAGAGGAGGACAACATGGTGCTCTGAGAT